CTACAGAGAAATCCTGTCTTGAAAAAAAAGAAAGAAAGAGAGAGAGAGAGAGAGAGAGAGAGAGAGAGAGAGAGAGAGAGAGAGAGAGAAAGAGAGAGAGAGAGAGAGAGAGAGAAAGAAAGGGTGGTTAAATGAAACGGGTATTTTTTAAATATTTATTAAAACAAGCATGAAAGCAAAAATAAGATTAGAAAATCAGTATAGATCTGTTACAGGAAAACATACAAACTAAAACAAAACAAAAACCCCACAATCCCTGGGAATCCCAGAAACATGGCAAAGAATGCCACTGATGCATTACTTGAAATGATAATATGGTCACATTTTTCAATAAATGAAAAACTTCAAGTATGAATTTAAGCATCACCAAACCAAATAAAGAACATCATACCTGACCTCATTATGACATAAAACTCTCAAACACCAAAGACAGAGAATATAAAGCTGAAAGAAAAAAAAAAGAAAAGAAAAAAGAAAAAGAAACCACACACAAACAAGAATATCACCTAATAAGATTAATGCTTAATCTTGAAAATGTGGGCCTGGAGATATAGATGACATCCTTAAAGCATGAACAAAAATGATGTCCAACTTAATTTAGACTCCAAATAAGGTCAAAAGTATTTTTTTTTTTTCTTTTTTGAGATAGGGTCTATCACGTGGCTCTGGTTGTCCAGGAACTCACTATGTAAAGCAGGCTGGCTTCAAACTCACAGAGATCCACCTGCCTCTGCCTCAAGAGTGCTGGGTTTAAAGGTGTGTGCCATACCTGGCCTTCAAATGTATACAACAACACACTCAGGAAAACATCTAAAAGACAAAACCACACACTTCAGGGGTTACCAAACTACAAACAGCTTGGGTCATGATAGCCAGGCTGGTCCTGAACTCTGGATCTTTCTCTCTTGATCTCCCAAGTGTTGGCATTACAAGGCCTGTGCCACCATGACCAGCAGGGTGCTTTTTAAAAACTAGGTTTAGGGCTGGAGAGATGGCTCAGTGGTTAAGAGCACTGGCTGCTCTTCCAGAGGACCTGGGTTCAATTCCCAGCAACCACAAGGTGGCTCATGACCATGTGTAATGAGATCTGGCGCCCTCTTCTGTTAAACCTCTTCAGGTAAACCGTAACAGTCAGGAAACAAAACTGCCTCACAGCGGTGATGGTCTGAGCCAGTCTCAAAGACTGTACCGCTCAGCAAAACAAGCAAGACAGGAGAGTTTATGGTCTATAGCTGTATGGAGTTCAAGTGTAGTGGCCCTGTGAGCCTGAGCCAGGAAGACTGCATGGTCTAGTGTGGCCTGGGTCAGAGTGAATTCAAACCTGGTTAAGTAGCAAGATCCAAAACACTGTTCAAAATCAGGTAAAACCTTTCTTTTCTTAAAGGTTTATATATTTATTATGTATACAGTGTTCTGCCTTGCATGCATTCCTGCATGCCAGAAGAGGGCACCAGATCTCATTACAGATGGTTGTGAGCCAACACGTGGTTGCTGAGAATTGAACTCAGGACCTCTGGAAGAGCAGCCAGTGCTCTTCACCTCTGAGCCATCTCTCCTGCCCCCTGGTAAAACCATTCTTACCAGAAACTGGATCGGTGGTTACACCAAAAGGCATGATTAACAACAGGAGGCAAGAGGCTAATTCTGGGGTACTGGTACTATCCTAAGTTTTCACTTCTGGCAGAGAGCTGGCTGGATTCCCTTAAGATGCTCACTGGCCTCTCCACATTACATTCAATAAAAAGCAAACTAAAGAAAAGGAGGAAGAGTGGGAAGGGAAGAAGAGAGGGAACCGGAGGGAAGGCTGGCCTTGGGTAAGGATGGGCATCGAGTGAGTGGTTGCTGCCCGGATTTGGGCAGGGGACGAATGTGACATTTTGTAACATTTTCTTGGCCCTGCAGGATTTAGTGGGAAAATGGAACTATTAAGAGACCCCCAAACTACTGTAATTATCCTAGGATCCAACCCGCCTGGTAGGTGGTTTACCACGTGTGTTGATAATATTTAATGTACGGCCGAGAAGTACAGACAGCAGAAAGGACCACTGGACAGATCTGCTGACCGGACCTCAGCTAGAGTGGACACCAGAAAGAAGAGATGGCCGGTGTTCACTGCGAAATTCTGAGACCGGGTGACGGAACATTGGCACCCACGGGAAAATGATAAATGACTTAGATCTGCTGAGGCTGAGGCACCAGGTCAGGTGTCTGTGAGAAAAGGCAGAGGGGATTGTCACAGAGAGCTCGCCTGCCTCTTCATCGCCACCTGACCATTATTAGTCAACAGGCCTGGCTGTATCTCCGCAGGTCTGACTACTTGAAGAGAATAAAAGACTTGAACTCATGCCGGCATGATCCCGAATAAAGCACGTGATCCCGGTTTACCGATTCCCAGATTGTAGCTGATCCTCACACCCCTGGAGAGGCTTTCTACTCACTCTGGTTTGCCGTCGCTTCACTTCAGCCCTCAGCTGATCTCGCTGTCTCCGCAGCTCCTGAATCTTGGCTCTAAGAGAACGTTCCTTTGTGTGAGCTGCCGGCTCTTCAGACTTTCTATCCGATCTCTTCATTTGAGCCTCTAGTCTTTCCAAGTGAGCTAAAACACCTAAGAAAATGAAAAGAAAAAAAAAAAAAACTTCACCATTAGACAAGGGTTTAACGGGCAAAGCGCACACACCAAGAAGTAACGGTCTGCTGGGCCACACACTGTTCCAAACCAGCCACTTCGGGAGGAAAGCACTACTTCATCTTACAGGTCACACCCATCCTGGGGAGGAGTCACAGAAACCGACGGCAGGAACTGCTGGAGCAAACACAGTTTGCTTTCTTTGACCACCAGAACCATCTGCCCGGGGGAGACAGGAACTCAGGGTGGGATCTAAAGCAGAGACCGTGGAGGAACACACTTCCTGACCCGCTTTCTCCTGCTCAGCTAGCCGTCAGACACACACCCAGGACCACCTGCCCAGGGGCCCTTCCACCTACAGTGGGGTGGGCCCTCCTCCATCTATTAGCAATTAAAAAAAAAAAAGTCCTAAAGAAATGCCCACAGACCAATCTGATGAGGTAATCCCTCAGCTGAGGTTCCCTCTTCACAGGCGTATCAAGTTGACAACAATAAACAGTCACCACAATAGATGTCTCCTTTAACTAGGCTCTGAGAGCCAGCTAAATTGTTAAATAAAGAAATTGATTGAGACAGGACCTCTCCTATATGGCTGGCCTTGAACTCACAGAGATCCACCTGCCTCTACCAGAGTGCTGGGATTAAAGGTGTGGGCCACCCACCTGCCATAAATTTGTAAAACCAGAGGACCAGACAAGCAAACCAGAGACCACCAACCGCTCTGTTGAACACTGGTGGAAAAGCACTCCCGAATCAGGACACTAAAGGAGAACAGGAGACTCTGGTCTGGGTGCTCCTTGCTTTGTGGGCAGCAACTGCACTCCCTCCAAGCCTGTTTATCACAGAAGCACACGTTCAGGGTGGAAAAGGACGAGCCTCCACAGCGTTACCACAGGCACACGAAATCTCCCTACAGACGTCCTATGCTTCTGACATTAAGACCGTGTAACTAGGTTCCTAAAGCAGATCCAGTATCCACTTTGCAGGGTTCACAAGAACGAACATACAGACACAGACATCTGTTCACTTGCCTTGGGACAGCCCACACTTAGGTCATTCACCTATGAGCTAAGTCAAGGCTAGACATCAATTACTAGTCTATCTCATTAAAAAAAACAAACTTGCACAAGCTCAAAAGACCCACACTGTGCAGCACCATCACATTTCACCTGCTTTTCTTATGGTTACTCACTGACTCCTGTCTTAGTTCCCCAGGCGCCTCACTCAGCACAGGTATTTCCACTTTTCTCTGCTGTATCCCATTCCTCTCCAGGCTCATACAACCAACAGCTGCAATGACCAGGCAGAGGGAGAAAAGCCACATGGCACTAGCCAAATGTTTCCATCTTTTGGATGTCAGAGTTGACAAGCAGACTGTTAGAACTGCTGACCAGGCTGGGTCTGCTCAGCGTTCACAGACTTTCTCACATGTGACTTGTCTGAGACAGGTAGACAGAAGTGAGGTGGAGGGATCACTGTAGCGTTCCAGGCCAACTTGGGATACAGTTATTTAGTTCTAGACCAGTGCTTTTCAACCCTCCTGGTGCTTCGACCTTTTAATACAGTTCCTCATGTTGGGGTGACCCCCCCCCCCATCATAAGTAATTTTGCTACCGTTATGAATCGGAATGTAAATAATTTTGGAGACGGAGGTCTGTTGAGGGAGTCGTGACCCACAGGTTGAGAACCATCATCCAGAGTATGGATCCCATGCGACCGCAGCAGGGTTTTTTTTTTTTTTTTTTTTTTCCGAGACAGGGTTTCTCGGTGTAGCTTTGCGCTTTTCCTGGATCTCGCTCTGTAGACCAGGCTGGCCTCGAACTCAGAGAGATCCGCCTGCCTCTGCCTCCCGAGTGCGCAGCACAGTTTTAACACATTATGTCATCAAACTCACTTTCAAGTTTCTAAGTAACAATTTCAACCCACGCGTCGCTTATTACCTCACATTAAAAATTTAAAAATAAAAGAAAGGAGGGAAAGAGGGAGGAAGAAACTGAAGCAGAACTATTAAGTAATGCGCCCAAATCACAGTATTTATAAAGGCAGAGCCCTGACTCAAACCCATACCATCTAATCAACAGAGGTAAAGGCCCACTGCGGCAACAACTCTGAAATAAGGTCTGGAAAGAGATCTTACTGCGGAACAGGGAAGGCCAACCCTCTCAATACCTCCTTTGCCCTCTCCGCCTTGACACACAGAATTCGCAGACTCCATCTCCTCTTCCGCGTCTCAAGTGCTTGTTTCCTACGAAGCGGGCCGGGCAGGGCAAGTTTAACCTGGACCCAGACGCCCTTCCCTGTAAACAGGAAGGGACAAACGATCATCTCTCTATGGCCACTCGGGGATCAACAAGGTGTCCCCGCCCGCCTCCCTTGCCCGGTCCTTGTCAGATGCGTCCATCCACGCCGACCTCACCGCCGCGGCCACTGCGATGCAGCCGGGCTTCCCCCGAACACCGAAGGCGCTGTGCAGGACGGCCACTCCGTCTACCGCCGAGTCTTGCTTTCTCTTCGGGGCATCCTCCTTCGGGATCCAGTTTAAGGATTCCCGCCCCGGGCGTCTTCAAAAAAACCGCACCCCCCCCACCGACCCCAGCATGCTTTGCGCTTTCCGCCGTACAAAGACATGGCGGCGCCCACGGCTCCACCCACGTCCCAGCATGCACCGCAGAGTAAGCACGGCCATTCAGATGGTCGGGAGGATGGCAGGCTCCGGGGCGGAGCCGCAGATCCTTGTGCAGTACTTAGTGTTACGAAAGGACCTAGCGCAGGCGCCTTTCTCCTGGCCCACGGGCGCACTGGTGGCGCAGGCCTGTCACGCCGCCACCGCGGCCTTGCACCTTCACCGAGACCATCCGCACACGGTAGCGTACCTCCGGGAGCTGGGGCGCATGCGCAAGGTGGTTCTCGAGGTGAGTCGGCGGCGCGTACCCGGAAGGAAGTTAAGGGAGGGGCGTGCAGAGGCCGGAAGTAGGTCTACTGGGGCCCAAACCTTGGCTTCCGGGAGTAGGTACGGCAAAGTGGTTGGAGGGATCTTTAGGAGTTTGGGGAATGGTCTGCGTCTTGAGCGGCTGCGCAGTGAACCTTCCCGGGAAGGGCGTGACCGCGAAGAGCGGACATAAACCCCGCCGTCGCAGGCGTCTCAGCACTGCTGGTTCCGCCAGAAACGGGTTGTTCCCGCGTCCCTTAGATTCCCTGCGAGGGCGGAGCTGGGCAAGCGCGGTCCTTTCTTCAACCTGTGCACCAGCCATGCCTTTTAAAGCTGCGCCTAAAAGTACCACTGCCTTAATAAATATGGTTGGTCAGGGCATTAGAGGCCGCTTGTTAAGAAGGAGAGAGACGCTCAGTGAGCTGGGAAGAGGCCTCTATTTTTCAGAAACTCTGAGCCTCCCGTCTTATGACCCTGCCATTTACATAGCACCCGCTTCTCTAGAGAGACAAGTGTGCAAGAAAACACTTGTCGGGGCGTGAGAATGGAGGAACAATGGCCCAAGGGACCACTGTGCCAACCTGCCTGCGTAGATCTGCACTCAGCTTTCTGAGGGGTGCTTTCCCATCCAGGTGCCCTACACGCCTATTGGGTCAACTTGAAATATTATTAAAAAGATAATTAAAATTGTGTGTGTGTCTGTGTGTGGGTATATGCACATGAGTGCAGGTATGCTTGGAAGACAGAAGAGGGTGTAGGATCTTCTGGAGCTGTAGTTACAGGCTGGGAGAGCAACCCATCGTGGGTACTGAGGAGCAAACTCTGGACCTCTGTTAGAGCAGTAGTCCCTGGAGACTGAGCCTTCTCTTCAGCTCCTGGGCTAACTCTTAAGGAGTATATTTACCAGAAACCCTCCTGCTAGATCAAGGAGACCACCCCCCCCACACACACACACACACTCCCCAACCAGCCCCACACAGTGGAGACTTCTTACTCTGGATTAGGCACAAACTACACCCAAACATCTGTTTTCACAGAGAGAGCCCTTAAGTAGGGAAGAAAAGGTAAAGTGGCCACTTTCTAATTCCAGTGGGAAAAAACAGTAGCAAATGACCTTGCAGGTGTAATTTTTTTTTTTTTTTTTTTTTTGAGACAGGGTTTCTTTGTGTACGCTTGGCTGTCCTAGGACTAACTCTAAACCAGGCTGGCCTCGAACTCACAGAGATCTGCCTGGCTCTGCCTCCCGAGTGCTGGGATCAAAGGCGTGCGCCGCCGCCGCCGCCGCCGCCGCCGCCGCCACCACCACCACCACCCAGCTTTCCTTTAATTATTTATTTATTTGTTTGTTTGTTTGTTTTTTTGAGACAGGGTTTCTCTGTGTAGCTTTGTGCCTTTCCTGGATCTCTCTCTGTAGACCAGGCTGGTGATGGTGCACACCTTTATCTCAGCACTCGGGAGGCAGAGCCAGGCGGATCTCTGTGAGTTCGAGGCCAGCCTGGTTTACAGAGTTAGTCCTAGGACAGCCAAGAGTACACAAAGAAACCCTGTCTCAAAAAACAAACAAGCAAGCAAGCAAGCAAACAAAAAACAGGATCCTAAAGAGGAGTGGGGATAGCAAACTAGGGGATGAAACTGATGCTATATAATTCTTCAGTGGAACCACATCTCTAGTTTCAGAGACCCTCCACCCTTTTGCGACCCTCTGACACTTCCTAACTGGGTCATTCAGTCAGGGTTTTGTGTTCTACAACTTGTAGGCTGCTGATGAGACCACCTTGAAGGAGCTGGCCGAGACCCTGCAGCAGAAGGACATCGACCACATGCTGTGGCTGGAGCAGCCAGAGAACATTGCCACATGCATCGCCCTCAGGCCGTACCCCAAGGAAGAAGTGAGCCAGTACTTGAAGAAGTTCCGATTGTTCAAGTGACTACTGTTCCGGTAGAACTGGATGCCAGCTGGGTCCGGGAGCCAAATGCTCCCTATCCTGAAGCGCTGTGGACTCCTTTCAATGTTGATGTGCTCTTCCCCTCCAGTTATGATGGTTTCTTAAGAGCTAGCCCAAATTCAGATTAAAGCCATCATTAACAAGTACTTCCTATTATCTTAATTATTGCCACCAAGGTCAAGCAAGAGAAGCTGGTAAGCAGCAATATTATCTGTGGGGCATTGCTTAAACAGAAGATAGATATATATGTAGGTATGTATGATTTGGAATAATAGACCTCTTCTAATCACCCAGGTTTAACATGTTACCTATCCCATCCCCTCCTGCTTCCCAATCGCTGGCCGCCAGTCTTTAGTGCAGTAACAGAATGTTCCTATTCTTCCCCTCTTTGCTGCCTCATAAATTCAGTTAAACACACACGCCTTCACAGTCTTTTAAAAAAAAAAATTTTGGTTCTTTTCCGAGACAGGGTTTCTCTGTGTCGTTCTGGTGCCTGTCCTGCATCTCGCACCTGTAGACCAGGCTGGCCTCGAACTCACAGAGATCCACCTGGCTCTGCCTCCTGAGTGCTGGGATCAAAGGTGTGTGCCACCACCACCCAGCCTACCTTCACAGTCTTACCAGCCCCAAATTGTTCCCTTCTCTAAACATGTGAACATGACAGTACGCTGTTCAAAATACTTCTGTACACATTCGTGCATGACAACAAAATTGAGTGAACACTCGTGAAGCAAAGTTTATGGAGTGATTTGTTCAGTAGAAAGCTCTTACATGAGAGATGAAAGCCATGAGTGGTGACTCATGCCTATAATCCCTGCACTTGGGAGGCTGGGGCAGGGGAATTGTCTTGAGTTCAAGGCCATGCTGTGCTACTGAGCAAGACCCTGTCTCCAAAAGCTGAAAAGATGAAGGTGAGTGAGTTAGTCAATGCCCTATCCCTATAATGAAACGTGGTGATTAACTTATAAAGAGAAAAGACTTGCTTTGGCTGGCTGTTTTGGAGGTCCCAGGAGAAGACCAGGCAGACTGGCATTAGGTGGCCACTCTGGAGGGCAAAGGTGGGCTGTGGCAAACTACTTCTCCCCTCATAGCCAGAAAGCAGAAAGAAAACAAAGAGGCTGGTGTCGCAAAATTCCTCAAGGACGTATTGTCAGCTACCTAAAGACTTCCCGCTAGACCCTGTCTCCTAAAGGCTGTTCTGCCTTCCATTAGGGGCACTCTAGGGAGCAAGCACTTAGCATGTGTCCTTTGGGGCATATTTCTCTGAGTGGGTAGAGTGCCAGGAAGAACTAACTGGTTGAGTGCTGAGGGCAGCCCCGGGCCCAGGATGCCAAATGAAGCTCAGGGTAAGAAGACACCCAGAGCAACATCAATAGCGGAAAAGGCTTTCGTGGTTGGGAGTGCACTGCACACTCAGTGAGAACAGTTTACAGAGCACAAGGGTGGAAATCCGACCACAGTTTATTGAGACAAGGAGGGGAGGGGAGGTAAGCCCTGGAGACTCTTTCAGGAGATTCAAAAGGAAGGAGAGAAGTAATGATTGATGGGAGGCTGGAAGGGTAAATTCCGGGTCCCATATGGGAAACTGTTTTACATGTCTGAGCAAGATAATGGTAAGGACACAGTGCTCACGGCCAGTGGCAGAGTCTCTGACGCCACCTGCTGGCCTCCGTGGACACAGCACACACATGGTGCATCAATATATATGCAGGCAAACACACATGTAAAATGAATTTAAAAACTTTCAATTTAATTAATATATTTATTTTATGTATATGGGTATTGCCTGCATGTATGTGTGTGCCTTGTGCCCACAGAAAGGGGCTTTTGATCCCCTGGAATTACAGATGGTTGTGAGCCACCATGTGGGTGCTGGGAATCAAGCTCAGGTCCTCTGGAAGAGCAGCCAGTGATCGTAACTGCTGAGCCGTCTCTCCAGCCCCAGAGAGGGGGAAAAGTCAGAGAACACAATGGGTGTGGAGAAAGGTAAGGAGAAGAGGAATTCAAATTACTAAGTGTGTTGTTTTTTAAAATGGTGGGAAGGAGACAGACCTTGGTGGGCTGGAGTTGAGGGGCCCCATGGCTGGTGAGGGAGAGACATGTCATGCAGACCGCACTCAAGTGGAGAGTTTTATTAGTGGGGGGGAGAGGGAAAGGGGGTACAGAGTGGCCCGGTGGGGAGAGAGAGACAAAGAGGGAAAGAGAGAGAACTGCTTATCCCGGCAAGTCTGTGGTGCAGGTAGTCTTGCCCCAGCATTTACAGAAAGGATTTTGAAGAACGTTGGAATATGAAAAATAGCCTATATGCATATTCTAAGGGTATTGGAGCTGAAAGCCGCTTTAAACAAAGTACCTGACTCTTTGCCCTACATTCTCCCCAGATATAGACCAATGGCTGTGTAAACATCTTGAACTAATACCCTGCAATCCCAGGCTGTAAATCCTGACTCTGGGGGTACACTCCCCAGAGGCTGTAAATCCGACCCCAGGAATGCGCTCTTCATCCTGCGTAAGGACTTTTGCTATAAAAGTCCATATGCCCCCTATGTCCCTTATGGCCCCTTCTTGGGGTCACAGAGCCAGATACCTGCCTGTGGCCCTAACTAGTTAGAAGTCCTGGTACCCCTCAGTGATGGAATAAAGTTGCCTCTGCTCATCTAACTTTGGTGGCCTTGTGCTCAATATTCTGCAACTCACAGACCCAACAGATTTGACTTGCTTAAGACCAAAGCCTGTGGCAGGAGCTGGGATTGAAGCAGAGGTCTTTTGTAAGTTCTGTTTTCGTAATTTCTCATTGCCATCTACTAATTTGGTCTCTACTATTTAGATACCAGTTAGAGGTGGTTTAGAAAGGGACCACAGGTCATTTGAGCTCAGGAATGTTGTAGCTGCCTGGGAAATTGTTTAAATCACGTTCACATTTAATTCACATTCTCAAGGTTGTTAAGGTCCTGGAGAAGTCCTGCAAAAGACCACCATCCATGTATACAATCAACAAGAGTGTTTATTATTCCAGCATGCTGGGGCCAACCAGCCTACATAAAGGCAAAATGGCAACAACCTTGAGAGAAGCTCACAGGCTCCTTTTAAGTATAGCTAGGGGAGTTTCAGGGACAATTAGATCATCTCAGATATGATTGGCTTACACAAGTGGCAATCATATTAGTACACTAATTGGTTAGGGCTAGTCAGGGGCTGGTTAAGGCTACAGCTTTTCCATTTTAGGGTAAGCCCGGACAAGTGCCAGGCTTTGTCCTTATTTGGCTATCAATAACCAAATAAGCTGTTTTGGAGGGGAGCTCAGGCCTAGTACATGCAGTTCTCCTTGTCCCTGTTGCCAGGGGCACCAGTGATTAATCTTTGTTCGTGGCTTCCTCAGAAACTGCCTGCTCAGTTCCAAGAAGCAGGGACCAAGGCTTGGTTCTTAATTGAGTCACAGGACAGGCTGTCATGATATTTGCCTGGCTCTCTCAAAGATCATATAAATTAGTACCTAGAGCTCAGTTACCACCAGATGAGTTGACAGAACTGAATTTCTGAACCTGCAAAGTGGGGATCAAAGCTCTTTGTGGCACTGGAAATGAAGAAGGCTCCCTTCGTGGGGAATGTCAGAAATAACTTTTACGTTTAAGTCTGGTACAACTTCCTCATAGAGTTTCTGTGTAGTAGACTATTTTAAGGTATGTTCTTTTGTTTACGTCGCATTTGTTTAACTCTGTGAAGCTGTGTTACTGTGCCTATGTAAAACACCTGATGGTCTAATAAAGAACTGGCCAGTATCAAGGCAGGAAAGAAATAGGCAGGGCTGGCAGGCAGAGAATATGAATAAAAGGAGAAATTGGGAGGAGGGAGCTAAAATCTAGCAGCCAGAGGAGGAGGATGACTCCAGGGGCCAGCCACCCAGCTATTCAGCAAGCCATGGAGTAAAAGTAAGATTTACAGAAGGAGCTGGAGAGATGGCTCAGAGGTTAAGAGCACTGGCTGCTCTTCCAGAGGTCCTGAGTTCAATTCCCAGCAACCACATGGTGGCTCACAGCCATCTGTAATGAGATTTGGTGCCCTCTTCTGGCCTGCAGGCATACATGCAGACAGAACACTGTATATATAATAAATTAAAAAAAAAAAACAAAAAAAAAAACAAAAAAACAAAAACAAGTGTATACTACGAAAAAAAAAAGATTTACAGAAGTAAGAGAAAGAGAAAAGCAAAAGATAGATGGGTTAAGTTAAGGAAAGCTGGCTAAAAACTAAACCAAGCTAAGGCTGGGCATTCGTAAGTAATGATAAGTCTCCATGTGTGATTTATTGGGAGCTGGGTGGTGGCCCCCCCCCCCAAAGGAGCAAAACTTCCAACAAGTAGATGTCCTGGGACATCTACTTCCTCCTCCCTCCCAGGTCTTGGCATAAGCATAGGGAGGTGTCCTCATAGATTTTGCTGTCCTGGGACATCTACTTCTTCCTGCCTCCTGGATCTTGGAATAAGCATAGGGCGCCAATTACTTCACCGGTTATAGCCGTGTTCTAAGGTCAAGCTCAGAACAGCTCCAGCCTCTTTTCTAAGATCTACACAGATGGGCTTTGAAAGTGGCCTACAGTGGAAATCAGCCTTTGAGGGGAGGGGTGGAGATCGCAGTGTTAAAAAAAAAATGTCAAGTTCAGAACCTAGGTTCTTGGGAGGCAAGAGAAAAATGCAAACCAAGACAACATGAGTCTACAGAGTCAGTACTATATTAAAGTTGTGGCTTTCTGCTATCATTTGAAGTGATAAAGAGACCAAATCCCTACTTTCAAACTAGCAAGCTTTGGTAGAGTGGTTCCTTGCAACTAAGAAATCCAAACCAGTGAACCAAAAATGATCATCACAGATAGATGATCCCTCCAATGCCGTGAGGGAGAGTCAAGAGGAGCATCAGGCTAGAGGTGTCGGGTTAATTACATTTCATTTGCAAGGGAACTGCCAAGAGTGTGGACGAAGCCACCAACCCTCTCCTTTACCCTGGCTACAGGAAGTTCTCTACAAGTACACATGGTAACGGATCCATCTGATAACATTGATAAGTATACAAGATATACTCTCTGGGAATGGGAGGAAATCTGGGACATTGGTAGGAAGATTGAAATAATCAAGGCATCAGACCACAATGAC